GAGAATAGAAAAACTATTAAGCAATTAATTTTCCATAGTGTATATGCTTGCATCCAGAGTTATTGAGTTATTTTGAAATATCAATTCTTCAAAGAGTTCAGGGGATTTCGTAGTCGAGCAGTCTCGACTAGACCTTTTTTACTTGTTTTCACTCTATCGTGTTGGAGTATTATTTTGCAAGTTATTACTTGTAAAGTGCTAACATATACTTACCCCAGTAAATATATAGCAGTTATTATGCCAGCTATTACGAAACTAATAACCAATAAAGAGAAGATTATACTACGCCAGTTGTGTCCTTCATCCAAGTCCAGGTCCTGATCTTTCTGCTTTGGATCTTGAACTTGCAATGTCTCATCCGGGGGAAGTCTCCATGACCCACCTCCACCTCCGCGATCAGAAGCAACATTGGCATGCATTTTTTTTAAATCCAAGCAGAATGATTTTAAAAAAAATGGTTGGAGAATTTAACTTATGGCAATATGAGGCGTCTCAGTACTCCCAGAAGTAAAGAGCTAAAAAAGAAAGAATAAAATTAGTTTGTTTGTATATGTCAGATAGTCGATATGTGAAAACGATATGAAATCTAAATTAATTCACTTAAAAAAAAAAAAAACATTCATGCCTTGGCTTATTCTTTTTCTGCAGCCTCTATTATAAGTAATTGACTAATTAATGGATTACCAGGACTTTCTCCTGTTATTATAGGTGCCCGAGAGCAGTCAATTTAGCCCTGTCCATTTGTCTGTCCGTCCATATGTTATCTGATAACCTGAACTAATGGCTTTGTTGAAATGTATGAAGAAGAATTTTCCACGCCCTTAATGGGCGTAGACATATTATTATGCTCCAAGCCTATAGAATATGGGAAATCAGAGTATAATGTTTTGTTGAAATGTACGTATCACGCAGAAGGAAGTATACACATATACTAGGCAAGGTATATATATTAGGCCCAGTCCGTGTGTTGGTCTGTATGTATAAATGCGTCGATCTCAAAAGATATAAGAGCTAGAGACTTAATTTTTTTATATGCCCGTATATATAGCGCTGATATCGAGTTTATCACTAAAAATCGATAACTCCTCTCGTTATTGTGCTATCGATAAAAAAAACCTATCGAAAATTGGTAAAATAATTTTATCTCGCACATCTTTAAAGCTATAGTCTCCAAATTTTAAACATATATTAAGATGCATTTTATAAAATTTCGGTTTTTGTTAAAATTTACCCCACCTGAAAATCCGCCCCCTGACCATCATATTTGTAAAAGGCAAATGAGCATACATTTGAATATTATGAGAAGTTCTGAAAGTTTAATTAAGATCGAAAGTCTACAATTAAATTATTCGTTGTGTATGTGTGTGCGTGTGTCTGTGCGAATTATTATTAAAATATCAGTTGCTTGGAGGGTTCAGGGGATCTCGTGACTACGAGACTGAGCAGTCTCGACTAAAACTTTTTACTTGTTATACCCTGAACCCATTGAAAATGCAAAATAAACCATATGTCATAGAGTATTATAGTAAGACATTTACTACATATGAATCCAAATATTCGTTTTATGAGTTAGAAACTCGAGCAACAGTTAAGGCAGTAAGGCGTCTAGAACGAAAATTGAACTAACACCAAGAGTATATCAAAGGAAGCATATGGCCCATGTAGATTTTCTTAATGGGAATCCCTTGCCGAATGAGAAAGAAAGAAGTGTCACAAAATAAAGTCATAGAAAAGCGCATAGATACAAGCTGAGCAGCAACGCGACCAAGATATTTTAGGTAAAGTTCGCAAATTCATTGATGGTGAGCTTTTGAATGATTTATAATTCATGTACGAAATTAGAGCTAAACTTTTGGCTAGGCTAGGCGGCAAGATTGAACGCAAAGAGTATATAATAGCACAACTTGATGGTTTTACAAAATAAGTGTATTCATAGCTTGACGCTAATAGCTGTATTAACGCATTAAAATCTTCAATTGCAGTG